GGATTAAATTTATGTATGTATGTATGTATGTATATTCGTGTGTGTGGAAATAGTTTTAGTGTTTTCTACTTCGTTGATATGTAGAGGAGGCACGGTGAAGTTAAGGATAGCTGCTTTTTCTTTCTTTCTTTTTTCGTTCTTTCTTTTTTTCTGTTTTTCTTTTCTTTCTCTCTATCTTTCTTTCTTTAACTGTATATTTTCCTTTTTCTCTTTTATGAACTTGGTCCCTTTCTTTCTTTCTTTCTTTCTTAATGCTTTCCTCTTTGTAACGCAACCTCTTTCTCATCCTAGTCACGGTAGGATTATGGATTGTGGCTCGGATTGAGGAATAGGAGAGCAAAGTTCGAATTCCAGTCGAATCATTACATTCACCTACGTGCTAATACCCTTGGAAAAGGTATGAATCCTCTTCTTCTCCTCCAGGTATGGGTAAATAGCTGGACAGACTGGGTTCTATAGCCTTGGATGCCAACTGGTCTATCGCAGGAAGAAATGGCAACCTACGGCGGGAAAAAAAATCTGCCTCGTCAGTCATATATTGAAAAATACGTGATCGCCTTAGTGTGTATTGTGCATGGCACATAACTGAATGATTTACTATGATTTTGATTCTCTCTTTCAGAAACTCTGATGTTATTTGATCAAGTTTTGATTCGCTCAATGTTTAACACACACACACACACACACACACACACACACACACACACACATATATATATATATATATATATATATATATATATATATATATATAAAAAGAAGAGCGATACCGCAAACGTTTTTGGTTGTAATGTGGATTTTTAAAAAAAATATTATGCTTTAATTTCCATATGGAAAATAAAACATAATAGAATTATGGATAGCTGCTGGGATTGAGGAATCGGAGAGCCGAGTTCGAATTCCAGTCGAATTCATTACATTCACTTAGGTGCTAATACCCTTGGAAAACGTATGAATCTTCTTCTTCTCCCCACCCAGCTAGTCTCTTTTGCATTTAAATGCATAGGCCTCATATAGATAAATAGTTTTAGTGTTTTCTACTTCATTGACATGTAGAGGAGACACGATGAAGTTAAGGACAATGATTATTAAGTTTAAAGAAAGTTTACGGTAATTTGGCATTGTGTTGCTATGTAGACTCGGTTACATTTGTCATTCGTGTACATATGTGGACATACATATATATATATATATATATATATATATATATATATATATATATATATATTAAAACTTTATTTTTAGTGGATTTTGGGACCTCTTTCTTACACCAAAACAAGTATGAAAGTCCATATAAACTAATGTCCGCAAATCCTTCAGAACAGACTGGGATGTCAACTGGTCTACCACAGAAAGAAATGGAAACCTACTGCGGGAAAAATCTGTCCCGTCAGTCATGTATCGAAAGATACATGATCGCCTAAGCGTGTATCGCGCATGGTACATAACTGACTGACTGGCATGTAGAGGATAATGTGACATTGAAAAAACGTTAATCGTAATAATAATGGTAATGGCAAAATAGTTGTATTTTTAATTTATTTTATATATATATATATATATATTACTTTAAACTTTATTTTTAGTGGATATCCGCGTTTGAAATAGACGTCCCGTTTTTTTATTATTTTAAACAGTGTGTATTACGTCTATCGATCTCTGCACTCGGGAAATCTTAAAATATGTTATTCATCAGATATTTTCTTTATTAGTATTTCTCGAGTGTACAGGATAATAGATGTAATAATTTACTGTATTAAATAAAAGCAGGGATTCTATTTCAAACACTAGTGTCCGTTGAAAATAACGATTGAAGCAATAAAAATGTCGGATTAAAAAAAAACTCGATATGTAATAAGAAAGCTTTAAATAATACTGATGAAAGCATTTTAATACTATTTAAGAAAGCATCTAAAGAACCTTTCGACCAAGCCTTCTTCAGAGATATTTATTTACTAATTTCTGTCAAGTAGACCGAAAACATTTAGGGGACGAATAGGTGCGGGATTCAAAGATAGAAATCGTCTGGAAATTAAGAAGCAAATTTAATCTGTATAAATAAAAACGAATGAAAATTTCTGAATAACTTGTAGAAACAACAGAAAGAGGAAAATAGAGATAAAATATATAAAGAATGATTAGTATTTACTCTACCCCCTGTATCTGTAACAGCATTTAGCCGGGGTGAGTTGAGCCGGCTCCAATATTGGAGTTTCCTGGGAATTTGGAATTCACAAGCGGTCCCCAAACCCGCATGTATAGACTTCAGATCAGTTCCCAGAAAACCGACAGCCCGACAACAGCACATGAGATTTGATTATAGTGGTGAAGGTTTCGTGCAGGACCAGCCACACTTTTTGAAGGGCCGATTGCAGAGACCTGGTGAACTACGTGCCACAAGGTCCCCAGATGACCCTCCGCAGGTTTTGAATTCAGAGTTGTCCTTCTCCTAGACCAGTTGCCATCCAAGGCTATAGAACCCAGTCTGTCCTGCTATTTTACCCATAGCTGGAGTGAGAAGAAGAGGATTCACACCTTTCCCAAGGGTATTAGCACGTAAGTGAATGTAATGGATTCGACTGGAATTCGAACTCGGCTCTGCGATTCCTCAATCCAAGCCGCTATCCATTGCTCCACCGAGCCTCTTCTACTCCACCCTGCCATAGTGTTGACCCAGGAAGTGAAGAATTGAACGACTAAAGTTTTCCTTTGGCCTACACAGGTTAGGTCTTCATAACCTGATTGTAACCGCAGATCAACAACTCTTAACATACGCCGAGAACGTACGCTGTGTAATATGTTGAACCAATTTTTCTTTGGTATTAATTTGCATACACTGTGATAATATCGGCCCTGGGAGACAATCATAACGCGTAGCAGAGTAGCGAAGTCGTTGAAAATCATACATAGGTGGGGGTTAACATAAGATTTGTGATTTAACTGGGTAGAGAAAACTGAACTGAAGCCGTCGGCTGATCGCGACAGATGATGCGCTCTTTCCATGTTACTGTAACTAAGATGTTCTTAACATAGATGCAGTATAAACCAAAGGCCGACTCTGTGTTGAACTGTGCCTGAGCAGGCGTCTGCAGCAAATATTACCTTGTTACCCTAGCAGAATCCTTCGTTTTTCAGTTATTAAGTTTAAAGAAAGTTTACGGTAGATGTCATTGTGTTGACATCTAGACTAGGTTACATTTGTTATTCGTGTACATTTG